ACCTTGATGGTCATAGTTAAGATCGTGGACATACTTGAACATAGAGTTTTGTCTGTATATTCCTGGTTACAAGAATATGGGTTTACATTTAACAATACTGTCTTAACCTATATTTGACCTTGAAGATCATAGTCAAGTTTGCGTTCAAGGTCACCATTCATTGGTATTTTTCAAACGTCAAAACTTTTTTCTAGAAAATTCTGCGTTGCAAAACGTATTTTCTGACATAATGTATCATTTCCATACTTTTTGGGAACCTTTGAACAGCCATAAAGGTCATGTTCAAGGTGAAGGTCATGGACAAACAAATATTTGAACGTTAAGTGTTCCGCTCTTCACATTTCCAATGTCAAAGATAGGAGTTTCTATTTAACGTAACTGTTTTGACCTTAAAATCATCTTTAAGGTCATAGTCACATGTTCAAGGTCACCGTTGGATGACCCTTTTCAAGCCTTACAACTTGCTTACTATATGTTAGCAATATTCTGTATCTGTAATGTGTAGACTCATTAGAAGGGCTACAAAATCCAGCAAGAGTGACTAAAGAAATCGTTCACTTCGCGGTAGTTTACATTACCCTACGTTGCTTACGATACATTAATTACATTGAGTAGTTCAGCAACCTGTCAGCAATATATGAAAATATAATATAATGATATTTCCATATGTTGATTGCTACTATGTTGCAGCTAGATAATGAATTAAAGGTATTTTGCCTGTTTATAGGCTCCATTATGCTTTTGCAGAAATTCACCCATTACACTTTTGAACAAACCAGTACGTTTTTGTCGATGTAAGAAGAGTATTGAGACCGTCTTTTGAAGAAGTGTCATCGATCGGTCAGAAAGCCCTCCTTCGAAAAGCATCCGCCCGCCATACTTCAAGCGCTTGCAGCCATTGAGGGTATACCAAATCGTGTCCTAGGTCCAAGTCGAAGCAAGTAAAGCCCGGCCAAAATTTGTTCTTAAGCGCTTCTTGCCTCAATATGAATAGAAATGTGGTCTCCTTTCTTTGTAACCAACCAAGTTGATACAAGACGCAAAAAATCGGAAGCAAAATGCATTCTTTCAGGCTCCCCATATCTCTAGCGGCAATACCCACTAGTGGTAGATACACTATCTGAATTACAGCAAGGCAAGACTTATAGGGAACACCCATCAACTACTCTCTATCTAACAGATCAATCTGGCTAATTGACAAATTGTGTCCGCTTTGGCGACACCTTTAGATACCGGTGGCCCTGGCGGCGCCCTTTTACCTAAAAATCCCTGTTATTGCCTTTGAGGAATGTTGACCATTGGTGTGTCGACGCCAGGTCGATGACGCGTTATAAGGCTAGACAACAGCCCTTTGTTTCTCGGTAGTCCGAGGAGGAAGTCACCCGATTGTGTTCCGACATTTCGACTTCCTTGGGACAGGGGTGTACTAAGAAAAATCATGCCTGCATTTAAGGAATGTTAGGTTAGACAAGGTTTTTGTTAGATCAATCACGATATTCCACTGCGACTCGCTGATCTATTCTGGCTCACACGTATTCATACTTCTCTCAGTAGCTCCGACCTGAGGAAATCGATCACAACCTATTTTTAGAAAAATACAGGGTGTTTCACAAAGATGTGCCAATATTTCTAGGGAGACGTAGAAACTGGGGTACCTGGACCCCTAACAGAAAATATTTTCTACGCCACAGGCCTTTTTAAAAAAAGATAGTGCATTTCATTAAATACCATTCAATTTCTCATATATTTTATCTCTTGAGAAATTTTTGTCAGATCACTCGTTTTGTAGATATTTAGGTTTGAATATAAAAGCTACAATCCTAAAATAATCCTATGAAAAGGCTTAGCTTCTTCTATTCTGAAAACACCATGGTATTGGAAGCACCATATGGCATGTGAAGGAAGCTATAGCACCTCATTACAACATTAATTAAATAATATGCGTGTCTTATCCTCAACCAATAGCGCAGAAGCTATTCATTTCACCTTGTCTATGCACGTCACTGGTTTTGTCAACTCATTCGTCTTGTTTATAGACAAAGAAACTTCAAAACAACGAAAACTCTGTGTGTTTATTGTTCATAATGTGCTTACTGAGCGTCTAAGATCTTAACTCAGTATCTTTACCCCCTCTGTAGATATAATTTTTTTTTCGATCTCGTAAATAAAACTTCATCACCCTGTATTTCAGTAGGGGGTCATCTTTGGATCCATATTCGTAGGAACTTTTTTTGTTATTTCTTTATGTACTCTACACTAAAAGTATTCGCACGCCTTTTTGGAACACTCTGTATAGGTTTGCTACTTAGAGAAACACTCCTCCAAGTGTATTTTATGTATCTGAATCTGACAATTGCAGGGAACCTGCACAAAGCGTGCTTAACAGTTTCATCTAGCTCTGTGCAATCAGCTTCACTCCCCATTTACGAGGGATGTCCTTTAAGTTTTGCATATGGAAATAAAACAACACGGTAGGCAGTTTTAAATAACTTAATTGTTTTTCGAAGTATTCTCCACGAAGATTAATACACATCTGCATGCGCTCGAACCAATTTTCGAAGCACTTATTCCACTCGTTTGCTGGCATTTTTGAATGCGTCAACTGCTTCTTCTGGTGACTGGAACCTTTGACCACGCAGTCTGTTTTTCATTTTCGGGAAGGTAAAGAAATCGTTAGGATTTAGATCGGGACTATATGGCGGATGGTCCAATAATTCCACGTTTTCTTCCGTTAAATACTGCCTTGCATTGTCTTGGTGGAGGATGATTCTTCCTTCGGGGTTGATTTTTCGAATCTCGGTGATGACTTTTGGCAAACAAATTGTGGTATACCAATCCGCAGTAACAGTTCTTTGCTCATTAAGAGAAATTATTGCAATATGACCCACTTTTGACACAAATGTCGCGACCATCTTTATCGAAACACTTCGAAAACGGATGACTTTTGTTGGTATTTCTTCACCCAAACAGCCTACTGTCGTTTATTTTCTGGTTCATAACAGTAAATCCACGATTCATCACCACTAACAATGCTGTAAACATTTTTTGAGTTTCCGGAATTGAAACGGTCAAGCGTTTTTTGACACCAATTAACCCTGGCTGCTTTCTGCTCTTCAGTCAACAGGTGGGGTATCCAACGAGAAACTAATTTTCTTACTCCTAATTCATCATGTAAAATTTTTTGAATTGAGGTCTTTGAGATCTTCAAGGACGCCTCAATATCGCGATATGTCACATGTATATCTTCAATGATGAGTTTGCGCACAGCATCGACGTTTCCCTGGGTGACTGCCGTTTTTGGTGCACCCACCCTGGGATCGTCGCTAAGACTCACCCGTTCACGTTTGAATTCTCCATACCAACGGGAAATTGTCGACTGATGTGGCACTTCGTTGCCGAAAACAGACAGCAACTCAGCAAGGCATTCTTGTTGCCTTAATTGTCTCTGAAAGTTGTAATAAATTATGGCGCGAAAATGTCCTCGGTTGAGTTCCATTTTTCTAATGACTTGGTGACACTTAAAAATTCACTGTAGAGAGAACACTGCACGTATTGTTGTGAAACTTTGAATTTAAGTTTACTAAAGAGTGAGGTTAAGATTCAGTACTGACGTTCGATCCGCGCGGACTACTATGTTTCTATAAGCAAAACTTAAAAGACATCCCTCGTACTTTGCACCAGTTTTCTCTACGATCCTGCTGGCAGAGTTCTTCAATATATAGCCCTGCCTTTGATACCAGGTTCAATAATTCTTCAATCTTCAGCCTCAATAAAAAACGACATAACAGGCAAAGTTGCCCTGGATACCAGGACACGGAAGACCTGGAACTGAGAAGGCAAGTGAACTAGCTTGGCATGTTGCAGGCAATCGTTAGATAAGCCCATATCACATGAGATAAACCTAAAATAGTGGAGCGGACAATCAGCACAAAATTACCCGTGAAAGAACAGAAGCCCATATTTTGTCATAAGAACCATGGTTGACCTTGTAATGGGACATTGCCTGTAAGGGCCATATCGTCAGTCGCTTCCACAATTGCAAGACGCCTTTAGTGTCTCCTTGATTTTCATAGTCTTTTCTCTCTCTCTCAGAGGCTGGGGTATTTATAGATTTCTACTGCTCAGTATCAGCGTTAGCGCTGTACCATTGTGAGGCTATGTTATATTTTTAAATTGTAGGAGATTTCAGGCTGATATAACAGATGACTTGAATCAAAAGCATGAACAATTTGATGCAAATAAGTATACGTAACATAACCTCAAAATAAAGCGCCTACACGGAACAGTAGAAAACTACGAAAATCACGAGTCCATAAAGACATCCTACAATTGTAAGAACGACTGGCGATACGACTCTAAAGTTACACACCAATTTCCGAAGATCAGAGGCAATTCAAGGAGATACGAGGCAATCCAAGGAGATACGCGGCAATCCAGAAATATCTGAGGGTACCCTAGAAGTGTTTCTATCCTGAGGAGATCAGTGAAATTCAAGTAGGTCCGAGGTGATCCAGAATGATCCCAGAATGCCCAAGAAATATTTCCATCCCAGCGGGAGCAGATCCGCGAAAATCGAAGGGTGTCCAAGTTTCAGGGGCAATTCCAGGAGATTCGAAGTATTCCAAAAAAAAACAAAGGAAATCCAAAAACATACGTGTATCCAAGAACTTTATCTATATCTACAGGAGGAGAACCGTAAAAATCCCAGGATGTTGTTTCAAGTTCAAAACTTATTACCTCTAGTACAGTCAGAAATTGTACTTATTTTGTGCAAGTCGTATATACATATTATTTGTTTTTTTTGTAAAGTTATCTGTGTCTGTTATCTCAAGCCAAAACAGAGACAAGTAATATCTAACAGATCTACTGATATAGATGAACTCCTTTAGAAAACCACTAATTTAAGAATGTCTTATGTTCTTGCAACTCTGTTCTTATGATTTCCATCTAGGTTTAAGAAATTGTAGTTAGAAATAATATGCTGTATATCCTTTTCAGTGGTTTTATTGATTTAGTTATTGACATTCAGTGTATACAGTATTCGCTGGATTCCACCTGGTGAACCTGCCCTAGTGAACCTGAAACAAAACTAAATAAGTAGCAGATACTTAACTCACTATTGTAATCAAATTACTTGTTTCCTTTGATAAATCAGAGCCCCTCAAGCAAAACTAATCATTATTTTATAACCTATGTAGCAATGAATTTTGTAGACAGGTGTCAAGTCGGCTGTCACCATTGCAATTTTTCGGATTCGAACAGAGCGTCTGTTTCGCAAGTGCGGATTTAGTTCCAAAAAATAGCTGAAAAAAAGGAAAATCTTCACAATTTCAATTGCTGTAGGTATTCACACCACTAGTATTGTGGGATCTCTAAGACTGGAAGATTTCCCTCCACTTTAAAGGCCACCCTACACCCTAGGTAGGTAGCTTACCGTTTTATTGCTGTCTTTGGCTTATGCTTGAAACACTCATATAGTGCCTGATTAATTGCTTTGTAGTGCATGTAGCTTATGCTTGACTTTTGTCCACAGGCCTCTTTTTGTTTCTCTTTTTCTCAGTTTCTTCTTCCTTTCAACGTCTTCTACTTCCTGTACGTTTTCTTCTGCATTGTTCGTACATAACTGAGACCAGGATTTGACCAGAACTCCATTCTGCAACCTCAGAAGATAACCTGCTACATTGAACCTAGCATCGCTTGAAACCTTAACATTGTACCGCTTTGGCTAGCTTTTTGCTACATTCCTACATTTTACTATAGGACTGGTTAACACCACCAAGGGACCTATAACAGGTTATTCCAGAGATTACAGGTCAGACTAGACTATAAGGTTTATATAAGGCTTCAGGTTTCTTGGACAACTGAAATATAGCGTACCAGATTTGTTCGCTGTAAGATTATCCACTAGTTAAGATCACTTTGTATATGTTTCACCTTTCAGTACGCATGCTTACCTAGTAGTAGATCACGCCATAGACATATCTGGGGGCCCACCTACTTTCGTATAATGTCACTTTGCCCTCCCTGACTTTGTTTGGTATCTGGGCAACCAGACCTGACAGACCTACTGACTTACAAGACTTCAACCAAGAGCAAAGGTCCTACGGACCGCTCTGACAGACAATGACGAATAGAGAGTCTCACTTTGCCCAGTAAATTGTGTAACATTAGACCTAAGATATCTGAATGCAAGTGTACGACTTGTTGTAGTCCTAGGAGGTAACATATAAGGTAACCGACCTCTTCTTTCGTGGGATTGTTATACATAGCATACGGCATTGTCTTTTCAGGAAATATATATCGTTTCAATCTGAACTTTGTAATTTCTTTCTTTGTTTACAACTTCTACAGACATTTCGGCAGGTTGACAATTTGACACCGTGGAACCACGGAACTCCATATAGAACTGGATTCCCTGACACCACTACCTGGGAGTAGCCACGGCGATTCTAAAGTAGTACTCTTTTACAGTACAGATATAGATATTCGTAAATCGACAATTCATTGAGATCCCAGGTAATCCAAGAAGATCCGAGGCAATACAGCAAAACTCGATAGTATCTAAGAAGCTTTTCTATCCTGGCAAGAGGGATCTGTGAAAATCCAAAGAAATCCAAGGTTCGGAGGCAAATCAAGGAGAGTCGAAGTAATACAAGGAAATCCGAGGCAATCCATGAAGATCCGAAGCTATACAACAAGTTTTTCTGTCCCGTGAAAATCAAAGGGTCCGACATTCAGAGGAAATTCAATGATATCCGGGGCAATCCAACGAGATATGAGGCAATCCAGGAAGATCCGAGGCTATCCTAGAGGTGTTTCTATTATGTCAGGAGATCCGTGATAATCTGAGGAGGTTCGAAGTTCACGGGCAGTTCAGAGAGATTCCATGTAATCCATGGAGGTCCAAGGTAATCCAGAAAGATCCGAGAGTATCCAAGAAGTATTTCCATCCAGCGGGAGGAAATCCGTGAGAATCGAAGGAGGTCTGAGGTTCACGGGCATTCCAAGGAGATTCGTAAAAATCCAAGGAGGTCTGAGGTTCACGGGCATTTCAAGGAGATTCGTAAAAATCCAAGGAGGTCCAAGGTTCAGTGGTAATTCAATGAGACACAAGGTAATCCAAGGAGACCAAAGGCAACTCAGGGAGATCAAGGGTATTGAAGAAGTGTTTCCATCCCAGTGGGAAAAGGTCCGTGAAATCTAAAGAGCTACAAGGCTCAGGGACATCTCAAGAAGTATATAAGTATATGCAAGAAGTTTTTCTATAGCCCCTGGAAGGAGATCCCTGAAAATCCAAAGATGTCTGAGGTTAGGGAGCAATTCAAAGACAGTCGATGTAATCCGAGGGTATCAGAAGGAAATCCGAAGGAGACACGAACCAACTCAGAGAGAGACTGATAATAAGTGAATAGTGTTTATCTCACAGAGGCAATCTACGAAAGTCCGAGAAAATGTACCGACCCAACCCACTCCGAGAAGATATGAGGCTCGTTTCTGTCGTCATTATTGCCTATGGTTGCTAACTCTGCTAATAAATATTGCAGTCGATCTTGCGATCTTATCTGGTGAACATAGAGGAAATTTTGAGGCGCTCCAAGGAAATCTGTGGAGATCCAATAATTTCTAATGAACCTGAGACAAAAAATGTGGCAGTAGGCTGGTTTGCTGTACCCCTCGAATCTTCGACTGATCCAGTCCTGTATTTCGATGCACGTCATTCAGTTGTTTCGGCGGTCTAATATGTCCGGAGTGTCACCTCATCAATTATCTGGTACATGAGGGAGCAGACGGCTGAACGAAAAAGGGATACGCCTTGGGACATGAGTCGAGTGAACAGTGAAATGAGAAAAGATGGAGTGGAGAAAAATGAGAGCATTATTTTAGGATTTCGCGGCCGCAGGGAATTGAACATATTCAGATCCATGCATCTTTTAAATCGGTTTCAAACTCTGAAGTACAAATGCTATGGTAAAAACTGTTACCTGAGTATCAAGTGACAAACAGTTATTCCACTGTAAAGGATACGATAGGACGCTAGTGTCACCTACAAAGGAAAACTATGCACGAGCGACGAAGTATTTCAGAATAGTCATAGAATTTTTCTTATTAATTAGTTATTTTAGAAATGGATATAATTGGAATTAATCATTTTTTCCTAAAAGTTTTTTTGTTTTTGGAAACGTTTCCTCAAAGGTAGATGCGTATTTTCGACGTATATCACGTAAGTCATTAGAAAAAGTCATCTAAATATACACTAAACATGACGAAATGCTGTTCGTAGAGACTCGTTAATTTGTAATTGACACAGTTATCATTGTCTCCTGAAATATTCAAATTATTGAACTAAAATTTTTTTGAAACGACCGATTCAAATATTATCCGCGTATATTCAAAGTAAAACAGTATTAGAAACCTCTGGCGAAGTATTTAATTCATCTCATTAATTGGTTTGAAGCTGTTCTGTGATGGTTCTGAAAACTGCACCTCTTAACCAAAAGCAAAAGTACTATGGACCGCTCTGACAGACAAAGCTGAATAGAGAGATTGGTATACTGTCGAATTGTGTTCTATCTAGTTGCTAGTGCCATCTCTGAAGCAGTTGTTACATTACATTAGAGCCAAACCATGTAGCTCAAGTGTCACGATGTTTAGGTAACTTTTTTTTCGGAAAACCCAACAAAATGTCATTAAGGACCGACCTAATGTAGCTTTTTGAGTTACGTAATATACATGAGATTTAGGCAACAAGCACAGCTACTACAACTCAACTTGACGTCAATGACAGCTACTTACAAGTTGGCATTTTTTCGAAAATCCAACATAATGCCAAAAAGAACTTACATAAGGTCCATGGTACCTATAAGCCAAGAGAAACTACGACAATGATGTCAGTTCTCCAAAAACGACCCCAAAACCTAACGCCAGCGGTGCTTTGACAGGGTTGCCCCAAAATTGTGGGATTTATGGTTTGAGAATTTCTTGGGGATACAATGTTCTGATAGGAATCACACTTTTCTCTGATAGAAAGCATCCCCACCCTATTTGAACCTAACCTACCCTTTCCTTTGATTAACTGTTCTGCTGTATGAACACTTGCCAAACAGTCCAAGATCCGGTCGCAAGTAAGGCGACCCTGCTTTAATCTATTCAACTATTTTTTGTCATATATAAATATCAGGTTTCATAAAAAAAACAGATACTTGCTTTGATCACTGCGCCCTCAGTCAGGCGTTACGATTTGTTTTTTTTTTGTCATTTCGTTGGTTCTTACGGTAGATAGGCTCCAAGATAATGTCACAAAAATCGATACAATGTCGCTTCTACTGCTCCAAAACTATTCTCCCCGACACATCCAAAGTTCATGACTCTATATACTAAAACACGACTCACCACAGAGTAAGACATAATAGTATGCTCAGAATGCTATATTTATTTTGCGAGGGGTGCTATTCCCCACAGATTCGCCAGGAAAATAACTTCTGAAGGCGGACTTACCAAGGCGGAGAGGGGCACCTCCATTTATAAACAGACAGATGTCTGTTGGTGTCGAGATTTAATAGCAGATCTTCCCATGAACATTACTGGTAGTAGCGGGATTAGATCAGGTCTCCAGTGTTTTTCACAGAGTAATTATTCAGTAGTTTAAGCTACTGCAACTTCAGTGTCAAAGAAACTGTAGGTAGGTAATGTTGAGCTAAATGAAAATGGAAGTTGTGTATCAACGTAGCTGAGGATAAACGAGATTTGGTGGATATTGAGATAAGCAAGAACATTTGAAAGTTGGGCCTTTGAACTTTGAAGTTCTACATTGAAATATTTATATATCTGTCTCTCAAGTCTACAAACGAATGAAACTCGGGTACGCTTGCTGATTTCAAGTATTGTTAATCAAAAACGTCTATGGCGTTGGGAAGGTTTATTTGGAGAAAAGGTTCTTAGGGACCCATGTCGTGTTTAGCGAAAGACGGACATCAGACTCAAGATCTGCGATTCCGACTTACATACTAAGTTATCTTTGGCGGAAGTCGCATATACAGAAGACTATGTTTGTCTTTCTTGCAACGATCTTTTGAATATGACAACCACAAATTCTCTAATTGTCTCATACGAGCAAAAAAATGGAGCATCTTAGCGAAAACCTGACCAGGTTCGTGATCTACACACTCCACTTACTCAAGAAATGGGTTAATATTGTAGATCAACAAAAACATTTTATGAAGATTTTTCTGGATAGACCGTCACTAAATTTCATAACGAAATTCGATAAATTATGGTAATTTGGTATAGTGATTTCGAATATGGCAATAAAAAAAATACGCTATCGCAAAGTCCTATGTGGAGTAGCAAAATGTATCCAAGATTATTCCTGAAACCTTTAAGGCGTACCAAAATTTTGAAATTAGAAATGATTTCCTGTCTAACGTTGTAGAGACGGATCCAGTGCGGCTTTGAAGGGTGGCCTGAGAGCGAATGTCCTTGAGACAATCGGAGAGTGGGGCTAGTGGCGACGGCTTCATTAGCGTTTTGATAAGGGTTGTCTGCGTATTTTTTTTGCAGTAATCTTTGGTGGGGAACTTACCCTCCAGTCGTCGCCCCGTAGGCTTGTCACTGCAAGTCCACTGCTTTCTTACTTTCTGCGCCAATGATCCTTCTATAAACTAGAAAGTATAGCTGGGATTGTTTTTTGACGTTTCAGACATTCGTATTCATTTCTGGAAAACATTTTGGGGGATAAAAGACT